CATTCCACTAATAAAGTTACCGTTGCGTTCACCCGCCGAAGCGTTGGCTTCGTTCCTCGTCGGCGGTACACGCACACGTTGCCGGCACTGCAGGTCAAGCGGCCCTGTGCCGGTTTAGCCCCGCGATGCAAACCTAAAATGTGATTGTTTCCAATCGGAACTCCCTAGTGCTGCGAATGCGAAGAGAGTGGGCTTGAGTAGCGTTGTTGGCTTTGGAATAGACTTTGGTTGATCCTTGTACTTATTTCAAATTCCAATTAAGCCTGTTTCTTTGTTTGATGGTTGTTCCCGAAAGTCCGTCTCGAAGCTATGTTCTGCATTCGGCCACCTCGTGTCCGGAGTTCTCGGACTTGAAGTCAAGGGTCTCTTGAGATCTGCGGGCGCTTATTAGATTAGCGTCCGCCCTAGCAGGCCAGCTCACCTACAACTGCACGCCAAAGGAATTCAACAAGCCCTATAAGGTTTGATTCGACTACGGCGTAGGCCGACCCCAGATTGGGTTCAAATGAAGAGTACCAAAAAGTCACATATCAAGAGTCATGCTCGCCTGCTAACCTCTGTCATAATCCGACAAAAGTCGATGATCATTTTGACACATCGCCTTCGCCGACGCTGGAAAGCACCTAGCGTCTCTGGCTCTGGATTGAGGTGGATAATTCTGAATATTTACGGGAATATGCAGTTGGCCATACTTTCATCTGACTCGAGTGAGCGCGGAGACTCCAACAACATTACAAGCCACCCGGAATCAATCTTGCCTAATACGATGAAACTCATCGAGAACATTAGGGAATTCCATTCGATCAGGGATAACTTCGACGAGCCAAATCACGGATCCTTCTTGATCGAGGGTTTACACCTTGCCATGTACTTCGAATTGCCTGTCAAGAGGGGAGAATTGACAAAGAGGACAAAATGGACAGCTGCAAAGCGGCCACTTCCACACTTAGTTGACTGAAGACAACTTCGAGGAAGAGGTGAGAATACGGCATGCATGCATTCCTGATAACAGGAATGCCTCAATTTCACTAACCCTTCCCAAACCCCCGGTTCTTAAATAAGTAGCTGGCACCACAAATCTATGCAAAGGGTTACCGAGCCTGCTCGATGGAAAAGTGATGTTACCAAATAGCAGCCGGCTATCAGAAGGTTTCACGGTTCAAGACTGAAAGCGTCATTTTAATCCACAATTTGATGCAATATGTGTTGGTTTCCTGTTGAGTCAAGGTCGCCTAATTGGGGCTTGAGGGATCCAGCCAACCTAATGACCTTGTCAACGGGACTCTACACATCGGAAAGCGATTCATGACGCACTTGGATCTCGAATTACACAAATATGTATGCAACAGATCATCCTCGCAAGTACTTAATAGATTACCATATGGCTCAGGAATTTAACTTGAAAAGCACGCACATTTTGGTTAGAAGAGGCCGATCCCATTCATGAACTCTCGGATGTGGGAAGTTTCAATAATGCTAGAAGGTTAATTGGAGACAGAAAGGGTCTGTGACCATTGTTAAATAGACAACTACGCTACTTCAGTCACATAACCTCTCAGGAATCTGCTTTAGTATAGTACAATGGAGTTGGCTGATAGAAAGCTTTACATGAAGACGTATTTACAAGAACCAATGATGACATGTTAGAATGTGGCAGTATTTTGTTTATACTGCCACACTTGCAGACGTATATCAGCCTGCACAAGTTGACTGAGCAGTGAGCAATGTCTCCGTACGTGTTAGCTGGTCTCAACGTCTGCGGTCTTTTGGTCTTAAACGCTAAGAGTGCGGTTGTAAGCCCACAATAAATTAATGACAGGACTTTGACAGTATTCTCAATAGTGAGGCTTATGTAATAAATATGGGCTGGAAGATGGATTTTAGCTCGCCTATGTTTCTTAAAGCGAAGGCGGTGAGAATTTATCGATCTCAAGATCTCAGATCTGTTCAGGCAATACCTAGACAGTTTGGCAGCCGCTTAGTAATGAAGTACTGTGAATAGTGCCGTTCAGGCGCTCGCGCCTCGCGTTTAGTGCAATGAGTCCGAGAACACGACGTTAGCGCCTCGCCACCTCACAGTTCGGGAGGAATACTACGCAAAGATGCAGAGACCCGCTGTATTGGCGTGAAAGCGAAAATCACACTGCTGCAGGTGTCAAGTGACGGTTTTCTGAAGAGAATGTGCTTCTGATTCAAAGCTATGGAGTATCAAGTAAGAGCGTCCGCTTTGAGATGCGGGAGCAGCCGCGTCACTAGCGAGAACTTTGTCAATGTAGCATGAACACTAGGAACAAGCTGTCCGTATATCGCAACGCCCTTTTCAGGGTAGAAGCAGGTATCAAGGGTTCGGTGGCGTATTACGTAGGAAGATTACTCACAGCGCCGTTCGTAACACCGAGTTGCCAAAGGAGCTCAAAGTATCCCGAGCGCAAGCCCGAAAGATCACCAGTGCCAAGATCTTAGTCTTCATGTCCAAGATGGGCTACTGATATCTGTAAGCATTGTCGCCTTGCGTCTTTCCCACCAATACGCGAGCTTTGGTACCCGGATGACACCTCATGTGCAAGTTGGACAACGCTACGCGCAGCGGCTCAACTGGAATATCAATTAGCCATACGCACTTTTAAGCTTCTGATTGGATGCTTAGTTGCCCAATCGTTATATCAAGTTGCAAGGGGCCCCTCGGTTCCACGTAGCGGCTGTTCTGGCACTTCACGACGAGTGTCTCAGTCGGGGGAATACGCCTTCAACCATGAACAATCACACCGTGTCTTTGCTCGGTCGCCAAGCCTGGTCAGCAAATGTATCCATACGTGCTTTCAACAACCAACCAAAATCTTCAATCGTCGTTCAGTCCATCCCCACGCGTTGCGAATGGTCCATATTTGTTACTACACGATGCATGGTTTCCATTCATGCTTCATAAGCAAATGGTGACATCGCGAATGATCATAGACTTATGAGCACGTATTTATAAGAGGCCCAAGAGCCATCTGTTCCTGGTTGCGAAGATTTTCCAAACACAAGTGCTCAATCACATTTTACGCGATGACGGTCAACAAATCAAAAGTCACTCAACATGCTTCAGAAAGCAATCCTCTCATTCTCATGGCGGCCTTCCCCGGAGAAGGTCATACCAACCCGCTCCTTGTCATCGCAGCATACCTCGTCAAGAAGGGTTACGAAGTTGTGTTTGTCACAACTGAAGACTTCCGAAACAAAGTCGAAGAGGCGGGCGCTGAGTGGGTTCCTACCAACAACCCTTTGACCAACACGACCTACCAAGCCCTCCGCGAAGCAGCTTCTTTGCCGATTGGTCCGGAGCGGTTCGCTGCGCAGATCAAAGCTGTTTTCTTGGAGACACTTCCTCCACGAACGCTAAAGATGGAAGAGGTTCTTTCCCAATTACAAGCACGGAATCCAGTCCGCCAGATCATTGTTGTCGAAGACATTTTCAACTGGTCGCTCTTTCCTTTCAGACATGGCCGTCCTCTGCCTCAAGGCTTCAACACGGCGCCTAAGTCTATTGGCATCGGTGTGGCAGCTTTTATGATGGAAAGTCAAGACACGGGACCAGTCTCGCTTGGCTTGCCCGCTGACGCCACTGACTCAGGTCGTCAGCGCAATGCGGTTCTCCAACAGTTGGTTGAGCGAGGCCCAATGAAACCTATGATCGATGCGTGGCAGCAGGCCATGAAGGATACTGGGTGTACGGCCATCCTAGAGACAAACATTTTCCGTTCGTGCTACACGGCGCATGACTATACGTTACAGCTTTGCTCTCCCAGCCTTGAATACAACATTTCGGACTTACCACCATCTGTGGAATTCGCAGGTGTCTTGCCTCGGAAGTCCGCTGCTCCAAGCTTTCAGTATCCTTCATGGTGGTCAGAGGTCGAGAGAGCTCAGAAAGACAATCAATACCGGCATGTGGTCTTCGTCTCCCAAGGGACCGTCAATATGGATTACTCCGAACTCGTTCTTCCAACAATCGAAGCCTTCTCTCAAACTGAAGACATCCTCGTTGTTGCAACCTTGGGTGGCCGTGGCGCTCAACTCCCGCATGGCTTTGTCGTTCCCTCGAACGCTAGGGTCGTGGACTATATGCCTTACGACATTATACTTGAGTGTACCGATGTATTTGTCTCCAACGGGGGATATGGCGCCTTAACACATGCTGTGAGAAATGGTGTTCCCATTGTACTAGCAGGAGAAAGCGAGGAGAAGATTGAAGTTACTATGCGGGCAGTTTACGCTGGCCTTGGCGTCAGTCTATCGACCCAGAGGCCTTCGACAGATCAAATCAGGCATGGAGTTGACCGTATCTTCCAAGATACCGAGTTCAAAAAGGCGGCAATGAAGCTAAAACATGAGAATGATGGCATGGATGCATTAGCAGCGGTGGAAAGAAAGGTTCGTGCACTCACATTGTGAGGCCCGAAGGAGTCAACCGGTGTACAACGTGACTTTCTCAGCTTTACCATTCAGAACAAAGATCCCCTCCACTTGATACAATCTATTACACTGTCCGCAAACTCCTCCTCTCTTCTCAATAACAGCAATTAGCACGCCTTCTATCATGCCGAATTGATTGTCAGCCATATCGCCTTCAGCTATGTTGCGCTATATCTCAACACTAGCGACTAGATTTAGCCTCCTGTTTGCCTAGTTGCGTGCCTCATTGAACCTTTTTGAAGTTCTGGCCTTGCCTGGTTTTTGCGTTTACTCCAGCTCGTCTTCTTTGAGAATCTCTTATGGTTGTTTTTGTGCTATTGCTAGCTATGCTATTTTTACCGAGTCAATGCCTTGTGAAGTATCCCAGCGCACTGGACGCGTAAGCTTTGTCACTCCTTCTGTACATGTAGCATTATGGTACAATTGCTCTAGATTCAAGCCCATTGCGGCGAGGGTCGGTCACAATACGGGCGCGAAGTTCTACTAGTATCTCGATATCAGTCACTGCTCGTGTCGCTATTCTTTAAGCAAGACTTACGATGCAGCTAGCGGACGCGTGACCCGACTGTGATTCGGAATTTATCCCGTTTCAGCTAGGCCATGATTAGTTTCCTCACGGTAGGTAAAATGCAAAAGCGGCGGATAGAACTTACCTGTACTGAGTACTGTCCCGGATAATTCGTGTCCAGGTATTCCTTGAGCTGGCTGGAGCTGACTTGAGATGCAGAAATAATGGCATTTTGGGTGCCATCCTGATTACATTGCCATTGAACCTTGCCGGAAGGTGTATGTCTTTGCTGCCAGGCCATGACGCTTACTCAAATTTGAGGTACGAAATCGACAAGTTGATTATTCGGGGAACTAGTAGGGCGCGATGGAGAAAGCAGGCAGCCAGACGCCTTGCGCTACAGTCGTCGGAAGCGAAACTCCTATTTCAACCTGGAAATGACCCGCGGGGGAAAAAGTCGACCGCGTGATCAGAGTGGCAAGAGTCGGCACATTGCTACCAATGAATAGTGATTAGTCTCCTAATTGTGAGGTCAAGAGTCGTTCCCATGAGCTCCTCATCGAGGACCTACTCAACTTATGAGGATGTGGTCGTCTAGTCCCTGACCGCCACATCATTGTCACACGGGTCTCACCGGTCATGTTGTCCCATCAGATTCCCGGCCATCAACGCAGACAACCTTGGCTTGTTGATTGGGTATGAGACAAGGGTCGAGGCGGACCACAGGCGACCCAGCCCCTCGCCTTGAGGCTTTGACCGACTGAGCCGCAGTATTAGCGTGTTGCCAACGCATGTTGGTTACACTGCAGGCAATAAAAGCAAGGTTTGCAATCCCTCACTGTCATGGGTGCGCTCCTTACATATAATCTGGTTTATTCGAACTTCGCTGCCATATCACATTTCATCAAGTGGGCTGATTATCGGTGCTGCAAGCCATCGAATCCCGTGTCTTGCCAAGACAGTGCAGTGTTGCTCGTTGGAGCACCTTGCGCAGCGCGTTCTCAACAGGCTTATCTGGAGCATCGGAAACTCAAACCTTTCGACTATTCTCATGGTAGGAGTCGGATAATATGAATAATCTTTCAAAGTCTATTCTCATTGATTGCTCTAATGCTTCCTTTCATCTCGATTGAATCCCCAAAAGCATCAATGCCAGTCCAGAAGACTAGCCCGTCTGGCCCCTCTAAGCTCTCCCAGACACTTCCAAAGATCTAGGTGCTCCGCCCATCCAGAATATATAGACACGAGAGTCACTGCTCTCTTGACAGGCTGGAAATCTCGTACCTTCCTGCCGTATTGCTTCCTTGCAAGCGATGTTGAGGCAGCCTGTGGGGGCTGTTGCTCGGCGTGAGGGATGAAGGTGGGTGGTGGGCCGAGGCCTCCTTAGGCATACGCTTCGTCGGGCTCTCTCGGATGGGATAAGCAGGCTTTCTGACGGCACGTGTGGAATGCGAACTGCGGTTAAGTGCAAGACACAATAACCAGACCAATCACGATACTGCCCTCATCTTGCTGCGGCTTGTTGAGATCCTGGTGCGCGCCCCAGTGCCTTACTGCTTCTACCTTATCAAGATGCCATCGCCATGTGCTCTCCGGCCGTTTCGCTGACCGAATTCTACATTAGATGCAAGGCCCGTCAACGAGGCTTTCCTAATAAGGCCAAGGATGTGTGACAGAGACTGGCAAGAAGATGGCAAGGCCAGCAAATCATGGTCCGAGGCACCACTCCATCAACTGGGGATATAGACTCTGAGAAAGGTACTTCAACTCTCACAGCCCATTCTCTGTGTACGATTGGCTTTAAGATCTGCTCCATCCCGGCCCCATTTCTCCATCTTGCGTGCATGTGGATTTCGCACTTCTTCACGTAGCGTCGCCTCGTGGAATTCCTCTACGCTGGCGCGACGTCTTTGCGCATCACATTTAATCGATAGGCAGTGGTTATAAGTTGCGAGAACCAGCTCTGAGGTCCGTCACTGAGCCACCATCTAGCAAAGGTACCAGTCGGACATCATTGGTAAGTTCACTGACCGGTGGGTTTTGGCTAAGAGCTGGACTCCCTAACATTGCATAGGTCAGACTACGTATTACTTGCATCATGGCAACCAAACCTCAAGAGGTTTTTAGGCTGCTGTTCCAACAAGGAAAGCTTGTATTGGATAATCCGCAGAAAGTCACACACATCCATGACAGAGGCGAGTCCTTTCGACTAAAGAGCGAACAACGAAATCCAGCAAGCCGAGGATCCATTGGGGCTTCCAGGCGACCAGAAGAGTTTCGTTTCGAACACGATGTTATCAGAATCATTGCCGAAGAACTCGACGAAGCGGCTGCCATGGTGCCTGACCTTCTTGAACCGGACAAGGACTTTATACCAAGGCGCACATTTGAACAGATCATGACACACAGCCGAGTCTTATCTGCTGTTCATGTGCTCAAGTGCTTCAAAGGCATACAGGACAAAGATCAGCTCGCCAGAGAAATCCAGTATGGTAGCGCAGATGGCTCCAAGTCGCCCTGTGTCAAGCTACTCGCAATTTTGATTGGAATTGACAAAGCCGAGGATATGTCAAAACACATGTGGACTGATGAGCTGAGGGATAGCTGTCTGCCCCTTCGAAAGGTACCCAACGACAGACGTCGAACGCTTCAGTGCAGGAAGCACAAGGAACATCGCCTACTCAATAGCTATCGTCGACCGGAAGATCGTAATAGATTTTCCCAATGGACCTACTCCATGTGCTCTCCCTTCATCAAATGGGAGCATGGAACACATCAACATTACCTTCTAGATACGGGAGACGTCTTCCCCATGGAGGTTATGGCTAAGGTTGAGGAAGAAGAAAGAAAATCAGATTCTGGTGGGAATTCATACGGGGGCTTCAGCGAGGTATACAAAGTAAAGATTCACGAAGGTCATTCTGACTTTGGAGTACATGGGGTAAGTTACATTGTAGAGCAGATCTTGAGAAGGGCCTGGGCAGGGATCAAATTAATTAACAGTTTCACCCATCTAGATTCGGCATCCACAAGGCTACTTTGCGCTGAAGAAACTCACATCGCATAGTCGCGACAGTTTCAATCTCGAGTTGTCGTCACTAGTTTCCACTGCCCAGAACTATCAAAAGAAACACATCATACAGCTCCTGGCCACATTCGAGGTTAAGAATGCAGCGACAAGAGAATCAACATTCTATCTCTTGTTTGACTGGGCCGATGGAACACTGAACAAGTTTTGGCAGAGCAATGAAGCTCTAGTGAGAGATAAACGGCATTGCAAGTGGATGGCGACTCAATTTTATGAAGTTTCCGAAGCTCTTCGCTATGTTCACAACGATCGCGAACCAACTGTACGATATCTAGAAGACCGAGACTCCAACAAGCAACTGTATGGACGCCATGGGGACATCAAGCCAGGTAAATTGACTACTCTTATCCCATTTCATACACGACTTACTGAAAGACTCTCCCCCAGGAAATTTCCTTTGGTTCAAATCGGATAGCTTTCCTGGTCTTTTGGCCTTAGCGGACTTCGGTCTCGGGCGACTGCACACTCAAGTTTCCCGCTCAAAACAAGACCCCAACAGCCTGGAAAGAACGGCAACGTATCGCTGCCCCGAATTTGACCTGGAATTTGGTCTCGTGTCACCAAGGTCGGATATCTTCAGCCTAGGATGTGTGTTCCTCGAATATGTCACCTGGTTTTTGCTCGGGCTCGAAGACGTGGAAAAAACCTTTCCCGATTTCAGACTGGAACAAGATAAACATGGTTTCGACTCTGATGTCTTTTTCTCAATCAAAGACAAGAAGGCTTATCTCAAGTCTTCGGTTACCAAATGGATAACGAAACTCAAGAACCACCGCGACTGTTCCTGGTACCTTTCGGACTTGCTTGACGTCATTCGAGACCGCATGCTAGATCCCGAGTCCACGACGAGAATCCCATCAAGCTTATTGAGCAAAAGGATGAATGAACTTTTGAAGGCTTGCACCGTCGACCCCGATTACTATCTCAAGCCCAAAAGCTAAGATTCGCGAAAGAGATGGCTGAGAAGCCCAGGCAACTTTCCTAAGACCCGGGAAGGTGAATGGATCAAATCTTTTCATGCTCAAGCTCAAACCAAGTAGCATGAGCTATCATTGAGCCCGCGTCAGACCACGAACTTTAGATTTCATCAATTACACGATTCAAAGAAGAAAGGTCGGGGCGTCCACACATGTCCGACCTTAAGACAACGTTTCAGTTCGAAAGGTCAGAATTTCCATATCCCGAGCCTGAAAGCCAACTACTAACTCAATCGCTGTAGTGGACTCTAATGCGCTGTTCGATCACTGCTAGCTCGCCCTCCAAACCCGAATACGTTAGTTCGTTTAGTTCAACTTGTGGATTTACCAGGGGGTATATCAGACCTTTTCAAGTGGCTTGGGCAGCATGAGGATGAATCTGTTGGCTCTTTCCTGTTTGAAGCTTTCGTCAGTAAATCATGTACCGGCCGTAAATGAGCGTGTCTTGTAGTAACAGCAGTATACCTTGACTTTATAATTCCCTTGGCCATAGATCGAATCCAGCGATGTTTTCAATTTTGCAGAATCATGATATCTCGCTCTCATCCTCTCCTCGAACGGGAATTCTGATCCCGGCCCGGGTTTCGTTGTCGCTTGTGTCACTTGCGTACTACTCTTTTCAGGTTCTGCCTTCGGTTCTGATTTATCACCGCGGCCCCAGCTCTTGCGGAAGAAAGACATCCCAGGCTCTCGGTGCTTTATGATGTATTCTTCCTCAAGTGCCGAAAAGGTGTGCTTCACAGCAATTTGGATGAGAGGCTTGTTGGTTTTCGGTGTCCAGATTGAGGCGAGGGAAGAAGTGGTTGGAGACCTCAAAAGGCAAAAACGGCGGGGGCGGCATCCGAGCTGGCTTCACTGGCGAGTCTCTCTGTCTAGAGAGGATAGGATCATGCGTGCAGGTATCCAATCCTGATTTCGATGTCCGCCCGCCCTGTCTTGCATGATGCATGAGAAGAACCCAATGGCGGCCCGACAACACATACATGAACACTGCCCATCGCTCCACCTCGAATCTGCCTGCATAGCTACACTAGGCAAAGAGGCTTTTCGGTTGCTGCAATGCGAGTAAGCCTACATAATACTGACTGGTCTTGGTCCCGGCCAGCGTAGTGTGGGCAGGGGGCATGGAGGCATACTAAACCGGCCAAAGGCGTCCTGCGAGGCAGGCTAGAGAGCAGGATGTCGAGAGAGGTTTGGAAGTGTAGAAACTATGAACGACGCTACGGAAACAGCTTCCTTCTTGAGCCGACTCTCGCATACTTATACATGTATCTCTCAAGGGAGTCGACATACACAGGGAATACTATCGACGCTGTCAAAGAAACCGTCGTTCGACACCATCAAGAAGGTCCTTACCTCTGACGGACCACGCATCTCAATACTCGCGGAGTTGAGAACCCAGGAGCTTGAAAGTCTTCTTGAATCAATACTCACTGACACATCAAGTGAAAAGAATGGATTTACCAATTGAGACAATGACATGGTCGGCGTCAGATCTTGGTTTCTTTGGATACTCCGAGCGAAAGGCTGTGGTGCTCACATCCCTAGACGGTGAGGAGGTTTGTGGCGACCTGTTACATAAAGCTCTCGGGGTGGCTAACACTCCATAGCCTACAAGCCAAGTCCTTTATACCAAAGAAGACTGGGAGCGATGGTTTAGCTCTGTAAGTTTGAAGCATTCTCCACCAGCCAAGCAGCAATGCTGATTACAAGTGCCAACAGTCACAAAGTAGCTCTCCTGACTGGAGGGACTTGAAGCCAGGACTGCGTGTGATGTTAGTCGAAAGTTCTCAGATACTGGGCATCCAAACGTTCTATTCTACATCACAAGCAGGCAATGCTACTATGGCATGATATACTGATTCCGAATAGCCTGTGTAGCAGGGCTCCTCCGATGTCCGAAGCACCCGGCAGAATACAATACCTCCCGTTTACAGGAAACACTTGGGAAAGAATCACTAGAGAGTTTCACGTATCTCGAAATATTAAACGAACGATAGCAAGACTGGTCCCGTGCTTCTCTTCCGCCCGTGAAGATGACGCGACGTCAGGTCATCTCAAGATGTGTTCGTTCCTCCTTCGCTACTGTCTACCTCAAGAGTCTGACACGTACTATAGCCTTTTCTGCGCGCATGTCTTCAAGTCTGCCGGACGATCTGGCAATGTCTGCCACTTACATACCGAATACCGGGACCACGTTCGCTGTGGTGTATGGTTGTAACGATGACCAGATGAGAAGCATTGAGTCAAAAGTGCGAAGAGCAGGCAAACAAGCCTTCCACCCACTCATGATGCCAGGGATATTCGAAGAGCTAGAGAGAGCGAGGTTGGTTGAGAGAGTCGAAGATCTGTTGGATGATTTCACACTTCGATCAGAGAAGCTTGAGACACATCCCTGGAGTCCAGACGCAGATACGGACGGCTCAAAGGCGCAACAGCATTTATCTCTCTGTGTTAAAAGCCAGAGTTTGATGGACCAAATTCGTATGGCAAAACGACAATTGACAAAGTTCTCAAAAGAGATTGACATCATAACGACAGAGCTCGAGTCTCTCAGCGGGGTTGAGTACATTCACAAGAGTGAGCCAAGAGCAACAAAGATGGCGAAAGTAGGGACAAAGATGAAGAATAGGGTGGACGACATCATGATAGAATACGACGATAAGATTGATGAGTGCCAGATGATGATTTGCAACACATCATTGGCAATGCAAACAGTAAGTCATCTTTCAGACGCGAGACTTGACTCCAAGAGTCAAAGGTAGTAATGACATCGGCAGGTCTGGAACCACATTGCAAGGCAAGACTCAAAGACCAACACCAAGATGTCAAAAGCAAATGCTGCCATTGCCGTACAAACAAAGGTCGAGAGCGCTCAGATGAGGACAATCGCGCTTCTAACAATGATATATCTCCCCCTATCTAGTGTTGCGGTAAGCCATTTATTGCAATTTGCTGAGACTTCTTTCCATGAGTTCGTCGGTAAGTACTAATTGAGGACAACCATAGGCTATATTCTCTATGGATATGTTCAACTGGGAGGCAGTTGAAGGTCAGTCTATGGTATCGAAACACATTTGGCTATTCGCAGTCCTTGCAGTTGGCCTCACACTGCTCACCCTTGCTGCATGGTTCCTGGGGACACGGCGAGAGAAGGCTATGGCGGATAAGTCGGACAACTACTTCAATTCACCGCAAAGACATGACACATTCGAGTATGTTTAGAGAGGGGGGTCACTCTGTTTGACTGAGATGAGGCAAGGGACTTGTTTAGGGCGAATCCTGGTTTCATCTGGAGAGGCGGCCACCACTGTAGGAATTTTCGACTGGATATTGTGGGCGTTCAATGATGTAGGTACACAGGCAGTGATATATCACTGAGATCCAAGGTTAACAGAAGTCGGCGTGGATATTATGAGCTACTTTGCTTCATACTCACTGGCGTGTAAATGATGAAGTTTTCACCCTATTATTCTAGAGGCTTTAGCTTTGGCGGTTACCGCACGTTCAACTACTCACTCACGTAATTTTTATTTGAACGCCACCTTTATGGATAGTTCAGCGAGACTTAAGCAGGGAAAAGGAAAATAAGTGTACATCTAGTACGGTTTTCTATTATTGAGTCTTTGGGTCTCAATGGCCCCTTTGCCCCAGGACATGGAGAGGACAGAAATCGTTTGCATTCTCCTACTACCAACAAAAAGCTTAGGCGAGGCTCCGGCCTGACGAGTGACACTTGATGCGCAAAGGCAGAGGCTTTTCATCGGACGTACAGAAGCTTGTCATCCATTTCTCTTGATAATAATGATACCAGATACTTTACCTAGTCTATTTAGTCCACGGTGAAAATGTAGGCAAATCAATCATGTCGTGAGTCGTGTTGTTGGAGCAAGGATCACCAAGAGGAAGGTAAGGTTCATATTGGTTATCCAGTCTACAGGGGTTTCAATCCTCTTCAGATCATACAGTAACAAATGCAAGAGTTACATGTGTAAATCCAGGAACGGTGCGAATAAGATAGTCAGAAACCCTATTTGTATCCATATCCGTAGTGTTCAAAGGAGTGGAATTGACTGGCGTCTGAGCATTAAGTACGGATGCTTCAATGTTCAAAATCTTATACACCCCACATCTTGAGCCGTAAAGAGAAGAGGAACGGTCCGCAGACCTCCATGCTCAGTAAGAATGCTTGTTGTTATCTAAACAGCTCGTATTTCTAGGCTGCCATTTACGCAGTGTCATGACCAGCTGAAGCTAAAGTTCAACTGTTAGGTTAGGAAAGCAATAGCGTGAGTCTTGGACGTCTTGCATCTACCTGCACTAAGCCAGATGAAGAGATGTAAAGAGGCGTGGCCGTGTGGGAGGGATTGGAGATGGTGCTGACAGACGCCGATCGGAGGCCGCGAATCGCGGCCCCTCACTCGTACAGGCCTGTTGACGATGCCGCGGAGCCGAAATGAGGGTGGAGCTGGCGCGTGAGGGAGTTGAATGATGGCCTGCAAAGGGGAAAATTGCGACCAGTGAGGATCGTGATGGTCCAAAGACACATTTCCATACCTCGGAGAAGCGTCACTTGATGCGCGTTTGTATCCGTACATAGTCGGAAGTAGGGATTGCTACTACACTGTTCAATGTAATCCTCCTCTCCCGTTATGCTCATGAAAGTCTGGATAGTGAGTGAGTGAGTGAATGAGTGAGTGACATGGAAGTGAGTGAGCAACGGAGATTTGAGTGAGAGATGGCCGCTGACTAAAGCGCGTTATCAAGTGGATTGCGTAAGGGGACTCGACGAATTGTGGCTGATGGCGTGCGCCAAGTCGCCAACCAACGCCTGCAAGCTGCTGCATGGACGGAAGTACCGAGGCAGAGTTAATGCTTGGTGAATCCAAGGACTAAACAGCCAGTTATTGTTGCTTGTCTGATGCCTATGGGCAGTGCGACATGGGTCGTTGGATACTCAGCAAGGTAGGTAGGTAAGTCTTCAGATATTGTAGCGAGCTATTCTTAATCTCCAAAATTTGACCCTTTTTCTGACTTGACCTTTGCAAAAAACTCTGGGTGCGTAGCAGAAATAATAGACAGCAAGTCAGCAATAGGGGAACTTCCCAGTGGTGCGGATCCAATCGGTACAACGGCAGGGATGCAACGTGGAGTTTGGCAGTGGGTGGCAGACCGCAGTGCATCATAATAGGACGGAAGGTGGGTGGTGCGGCGTGCCGTGAACAGTGGAACGATGCCTTGTTTGTGTGTGCGCGTGTGTGGGATGATGAGGGAAGATGTGGTGACGTGAACAGTACGAAGTTGAGCATCTATTCCTGAGTGCAATGTGCATCATTCCATGCATTCCATCATGCATCAATTTGGAGGTTGTCAACAATGGAAGTTTATTTGGAATGGCAGATATTTCTTGCCAAGAGCTGAGGTGCTCCATTGAGAGAGGGGCCGCGGAAGGAATCAACGGGAAGGATGAGAAACCTCGAAGACCTGTCTCGGGGAGTCAGGAGAAAAAAAAAAAAAAAAAAAAAAGAGGTGTCCATGCCTTTAGACTTAGGTAAGCACGCAGCGTAAAAGGAATTTAAGTGGGAAAATTAAATGGAACCTAGATACTCCGTACCTACGGATACCAAAGGTAGCTTGTTTTTGTTGTGTCTGCTTGCTTGCTTGCTTGCCGCCTAGTAGAAATTTGGGAAGGAAGGAACTAAGAAAAAAAAAAAAAGGTCGGCCAAAACGAGATGAGAAATGGGCCGTGCATCCGGTAGTGGTGATTCTGAATTTCCTGATCATGAGCAGGGGAACATGGCGTTAATCCACATCTGGTCTAGTGCCACAGTGACTGTCACGGCTGGGAGCTCTAAAACCTCCTTCCATTTGGGCCTTGGCATTTACTGTGACTGCACCTTGCGATCTTCGATGCTTGAGAGACGGGGCCCGCTAGGTACTCCGTCCCCCTTGCCTCCTTGTCTTTCTGCAATTAGCAACTGGCACCACCGGGACCCTGTACGCGGCCCATAACAATCTGATCATCAATGTTTGGCCGTGCAAACGACACATATATCAAAATAATTCAAGTGATGTTTGTTTGCACTTTATCTACAACCTGCTTGTGTGTTGCTGTCATGGTCGTTGTTTCCACTGCTCACCCCAACTCCCCAAGTACCCTTGCCTTACAATCAGGCACGTTGGGTAAGGTACGGAGTAAGGTAAGGTAAGGTAGGTAGCTGCATGCCAAGGTCCTTCCCAAGGTAAAGGTACAAGTAAGGAGGGAGAGGCACAGCTGGCAGGTGCCGGAGCTACCCATGTCTGCCGCTTGCCCAGCCGGACCTTCTTCTTCGACCTCGACCGAGCACGTTCTTGCCCTGGCATCTGATACTGGATGCGGAACTTCTTTCCAGTTCCCTCCCATTTGGCGCTTGTCTTTGATATTCCCCCAACCTCAACCTGAAAGCTGCAACACTTGGAAATCGGCATCAATGTCTCACTCGCCCAACCTGGCCATCGTCATCCATTGAGTCTCTTTCCCAGCGGCATCACTTCCAGTCTTCCTGCAAAATGTCGGCCCAAAGCCATCCTACCTTACCTTAGTACTCCGTACGCCTGAACGATTGAGGGCAAATCCGCCATACCCCAACGGTTCACCACCACCGCTTCCTCGTGGCCAATGGCGCACGTCTTCCCATCGACGCTTCTGCATGAAAACGATGGATGAAGCAAACCAAAGCTGCAAAGCTGCTCTCTGCGTGGCCCCACCAGCAGTCCACCACCAGCAGTCCACCACCAGCAGTCCACCACCACCACCACTACCACTGCGTACAAAATATGTAGTGTATGAGGTCCAGACCAGGATGGCGCCGCATTGCCGGAACAGAAACATAGTTTCGAAGCCCGTCGAGGGTTTGCGTCCCCACGCTGCCCTGCGACATGCGTCCTGCGCTTGCTTCCCCTTCCCCTGCACCCACTCCCGCTCAACAGGGCACCAAGCAAGCAAGTTGGCAACCACGCAAACACTGCGCGCGGCGCGCCCCTTTGTCTACCGCCGATGGCACCGACCCAACCCATGCCGCCCTCGAGTCAAGCTGTCGCCATGTTGCGTCTGCCCTAGCATCTGCGGCTGCGCATACCTCGCCAGCCATTCCCACGTTCACGCCTAGGATACACTCTCCACCCGCACGCTACGCCTCTACGCCTCTACGCAACGACTGTACAAATACAGATCTGTACAGAGTGTACAGACCATTTGTACAACTACGGAGCAGAAAGATCATGGGTCAATCTACATTGTGTAGCTCAGGTCCCCGTCTCTCTCACTCCCATGGTCCATCCATCCATGGGCCATCAGGTCTTGTCACTGGCCCCATGAGCTACCTCATGGACCATCCCTAATCGCACAATGCTGCTCCCAATTCGGAAGTGTCGTGTCCCCGGCCAACCTCTAGCGGTGGCCGTCATCGCCGTGGGCCGTGGGCCGTCGTGGATCATGGACCGTGGGTCGTCTGCTATGGAATTGTGGCTGCCTTTGGGGCAGGGCCGGACTGATGTTTGGTCTGCCCCCAAACTCGATCCCAAACTCTAAGCCCATTCCTCGAAGCCTTTTTCGTCCTGGTTCCTCCTCGCCGTCGTTCCAGACCTACACGCCTCCGCGCCTTTCCCTTCCTGTGCTTCGTCAAGAACCCGCTACCATTCTTGTAATGCTTATCCCCCCATCTTCTTTCTTCTCCTGGTCTACCTTATTACCTTAGTTTAATCCTCAGTTTCCTCGACTTGCCCCCGAGTCCCCCCCTCCCCATCTCTGCCAAGGAGACCCGTTGGGCCTGTTCCCCTGCTCAGACAACGTCAGCTCGTCTTCGGTCCAAGCCCTGCAATCGTCGTCCGATCTTGGATCCTCTGACCGCGCATGTTCCAAACAAAACTCGAAAACGGCCAGACTTGACACCTTGCTTCTGCGTAGCTGCTGCAACATCCATTTTCGATCACGGCCAACGGGAATCTTTTTTGGACTTTTAATATCATCGTGAGTTTTGTCTTGGCATACGACTTTTGCATAGACTTACACAGTGATGCCCTTTAGAACCTACATATAGAAACATATTTGTATAACGGAGCCGACAACGACGAAGACGACGGATACGACCACAATCCCTTCGAACCGAGCCTTGTTTCATTGGCACGAACAAAAGTACCGCAATGCCGAAATCAGGGGAATTTGCCTTCGCTGAAGAGCGGTCTTCATCATCCGTAGAAGATTTTGACCTCGATGACGAACACAAGGAACCATTGCTGCCCGGCTCGACCTCGATCTCGCGCCGGAGGCAACGAGGAACACTGCTTGCATGGCTTAAAGGACGGCCAAAGTCATTGTTGAGAAAGTTCCGTCGACAACCTCGATCCCTCCCGCGACTCCTACTCCGATATACGTTCATGTTCATACTCTTCATCATCGTTACAACACCGATATTCTTCCCGTCGTACACGCGCCATCCGAAGCACTACAAAAATTTGAGAAAAAGATGTCTGGTGTCCGACAGCCTTTCTGGCTGCGCCAATATGCAAAACGAAAAGGTATTCATTGCCGTCAGTTTGTTTGACCCAGAGGGCAAGATTGCAGGGGGAGAATGGGCCAAGAATGTACTGGACCTAATCCACATGATTGGCGAGGAGAACACATTCCTTAGCATCTACGAAAATGACAGTGGTGACTTGGGTACTGCTGCTCTGGAGGAGTTTAAGAAAAATGTGCCATGCAAGCACAAGATCGTCAGCGAGGGTCAGGTCGACTACAACGTCTTCCCGCATGTCACCATGCCTGATGGAACACAGAGGTTGAAACGCTTGGCGTATCTGTCCGAGATGCGCAACCGCGCGCTCTACCCATTGGACCAGTACGACACGGATGCAGGGATTGTCAAGTATGACAAGATCTTGTTCCTCAACGACGCGCTCTTTGCGCCGGTAGACGCCGCTCATCTACTGTTCAACACGAATGCGGGCGAAGACGGCAAAGCTCACTACCTGTCGGCATGTTCCTTGGACTATGACTGGAACCCTTTCCTCGAGTATGACCTTTATGCGCAGCGCGATGCTGAAGGGTACTCCAACGGCATCCCGATCTTCCCCTACTTCACCAACAAGGGCCAGGCAATCTCACGCAAGGCCATGCTCTCGCAGACAGATGCGGTCCCCGTCAAGAGCTGCTGGGGTGGAATGGTGGCCATGCAAGCCAAGTACATCCAGAACCTGGATAAGAAGCTGCCGACGAAAGACTGGCAAGCTATTGCGCACCACGTCATTAACCCAGACCACCCTCACAACACCACGACACCAGTCCGATTCCGCTACGAACCCGAGGTCTACTTTGACGCCTGCGAATGCTGTCTGTTCCTTGCCGATGTTACGAGTGTCGCAGACAAGGCCGGAGAGCCAGACATGGGCGTCTTTGTGAACCCATACGTGCGCGTGGCCTATCGCAAGAGAACACAACGCCTCGAGCGTGTTATTCGCCATTGGGAACGGCTCATGGCCCTGCCGCAGGAGATCATTACCTACTTTTCACGGTTCCCGACCCCGAACCCTCACAGAGAGGTTGTCGAAGGGCAACGCTTCATGGAAGAGATTTACCAACGCCGGGAAGGGTGGAAGATGGTTGAGCGAACGGGGCGCAACGGCATGTTTTGCGGAGTCCGGGAGATGCAGCTCATCAAGGAGGGCCCGCGCAACGGACGCAACTGGGAGAACCACTATAACATCCCATGGGCGGAACAGCAGTTGAACTTCCCCATCTGATTTCATTCTCGATTTTGACGGAGCTTGTACTGGTCGGTGTAATGGGGGACACGGCGCTTGTGGTTGGTTAAACTATGGAGCATCAGCATTACTTTTGTTCGGCGGCATTGGATGGATAAACCTATTGGGCATAACGACGATGGTTCGATACGGGGAGGAGGGTTGTTGGGTCCCAAGGCTGTATGCCACCCAAAAAAAGGGGGGGGGGGGGGGGGGGCGCGAAAAGGGGCAATGGGGTTTTTGGAAAAGTGTCATAGACGTACTGGCACACTTTGTGCACCTTGATACCACTTTCGTTATACTTTTGAATATACTACTACCAACGATTCCTCTCGGTGGCCGCTGCTACTACCCCTTGATCATTGGCTATCGACCACGCTTGGTAAGAAAAGCCCATGGCGTCAGGCCAGTTTATATTGGATGAGTGTGTGACTATGCCAGACGCCTTCCTTATGCTACGTTGTGAGGTAAGACAAGTAACGTGCTCGAACACGCTGTCACTCATAAGAGTCCGAATCACTCAACACCGATCTTTTGCGCCAGTGAGGCCGAGAACCACACGTCGTGGACACTTTTCAACACAGGCTTGAGACCAAAGATGTCAACGAACACCGACTTCATCCATGATTGGCTGTTCCCCATTGGACCCCTGTTCGGTCCTAGCTGCAGTGCAGTAACTAAACGCGAAGTAAACCAGACAAGCCCAGACCCAAACCCAGAGACCCAGACCTAAGCACAACAAGTAAGTTACCTATTTGCATTCCCACCCCATGGACCGAAAGAAACCCAAACGTGACACTAAAGAGAGGGATAACGAGAAGCTAGCCTCCCGAAAATAACATGCGGACGAGGCGCGCATAGACAGGCAGTTATCCGATAGACAAGACGCCCGCCCAAGAACCCAAAGTCACAAATAGCAAGTCCAAAAAGTCCGCTCGCTCAACAACAATCAAGGTGGTATCTTGGAGGAGAAAAGACACTGGCAAGCCACGGCCGTACTGAAGATTGGAGAGAGACTCATTCATGCGTCAGGCATGCTTCGAAGAGAGAAGCAGTCAAGATAAACACTTAGGCTGCGACGGCGGGGGTCGCCTTTGCCTTTGTGGTCTTGGGCTTGGTCTCCTTCTTCCCTGCCTTGGTGGCCGCGGCCACCTTGGTTTCTGCCTTCTTGGCTACCGACTTGGCCTGCGCAAGGTGTGTTAGTGATGAAGCTCAGTCATCAAGCAATGGCAAGAAGAGTTATCAAGAAAAAGGTCTGTATGGTAGGAATGGGGTAGAATAATTGATCTCTTGTGGCAAGCGCGACTTGGACACCCAGGTTTGCTGGACAAGAACACAACATGATGGGACCGAATCCAAAACAAGATTCTCGCCAGAAGAAGCAGAGAAATTACAAGGTGGTTCTGGAGGAGAGAGAGAGAGAGTTGCGCGCCTCCCACACGTGTTATGTACAATGTCTCATGGACATACCTTGGTAGCGACAGAAGGGCCCTTCTTGGCGGTGGTGGCCTTCTTCTTGGTGACGCCGACAGGCTTCGCGGCCTTGGCAGCAGTAGAAGTAGTCTTGGGCTTCTTTGCGGTCGTGGTGGTCGTGGTGTTCTGCTTGCGAACAGGAGCGGTGTCGACGACTGGGAAGAGACGCGGCTTGGAGTTGCCGGTCTGGGAGCGGGTTCCTTCACGTGCCATTTTGACGTTTGGTCTGGTGTCGCGATGGAATGTTAGTTATTGCTTTACGATTACGAGATTGACGCGATTGCGATAGATGTAATGCGACGAGAAGAAGAGGTTGTGGTTGTGATAGCGCTCGTGAGAAAGTGACGTGAAGAAAGAGAGAGTATCCGTGGGAGGAGGGGAAACCTGAAGGCGAATGGCGGATGGCGCGATGGGCGGGAAAAACGGGCCAAAGTTGGTACTTTTTGAAAGACTCACGGTTGGATAAAGACGATGGAAAAGTGACGCGTTAAAGCTTTCTGAAGCTGCAGAATTGGGTTAATCCAAAGGACGATGGAAAATGGTAAGTTTTCGACGAAGAGTGGTGGAATGGCGAGGTGTTGTTGTGAGAAAAGAGAAGATGGGAGGTGACGTGGTTTCGTGTTGCGGCGCGAGGGGAGGGGAGAGGGGGAGGACTGCGGATATGGCTGATTGAGTGCTGGCGGTCGGTGGTGCTGGTGGTGGACGGTCACAAGGGGCACACACCACACACATACGTCTTCACACACACACACACACACACCTTTTGCACGGGAGGAGCGGTGTCGGAACACATGTTTAGGATATTGGATCATCATGGGCGATGTGAAGGGAATTGATTCTCGTATTGTTGATTTTCTTTCGGCTAACTAAATTATCTTTCAAATGAATGGAGTCAAGCCGTGCCTTCTTTTTTGATGAATTTGCGAGAGGATAGAATGGAAGGAGCACATTGTTCACCTGCGATGGCAAGATGGAGGGACGGGAAGGAAAGAGGCAGAGGCAGAGGGAGAGAGACAGGAAAGAGCGGGACAGCCAGTGATTGAACTTCCAAGTTGGAGGGAAGGAAGGCACAAGAGTTAGACAGCTGCGTCTGATACTGTTTCTTTCCTTTCCTTTCCTTCCCTTCCTTAAGGTAAGGAAGGTACTTTCAGTTACCTTCTAATCTGACTACACGGTCCAAGTCCTTCCTGCTCTTTGGCCTAGACAATTTGTTTTGATCCCCCCCCCCCCCCCCCGGGATTTTTGGGCGTCTTATCAAGAATCAAACACGGCAAGACGGCCTGATATTGCGCCCCTTGCCACTTTCATCCATTCTTCACCACACCTAGGGTACCTACCTAAGGTACCTTAAGCTCAAAGTTGGCAGTCGCCAGTGTCCCCCCCCCTTTCCCTTGGCTGTCACTGTCCTCCTCCATTTATTTCTCTTGCATCTTCCACTTCTTCCCCCCATTCTGCCCATGTCGACCCTCTGATTTGAACCTCTCTCTCTCGTAAACCTTTACCTTTCCCCTCTTTTTGCCTCTCTGCTCTATTCCGCATTTCACTATGATTTTCTCCCTTAATTTCCCCGCCTTAGCGCAGACCCGGCAATTCAGCGGTGCCCGACCTTGTTAATGAGCCTGCGCCCTTCTTATCTCCCTCCCACTTCCAGCCTCCTCGGACTCGGCGTGGGGTTCGGCCTACGTTGATACCTCTCTTCGTCTTCTTTGTCTACATTTCTCATGATGTAGCTACGTTTTCGAGCGCTCGTCGGCATGTATACAGTGGCCATCGAACCAAGTTTCGAGCAAAATGCGGCTACGGCAATTTCGTTAGATGGCCCCGATAGACCAAGCACATGATGGACCCAAGCGAAGGACGCGCCAGTTCTAGACCGACCGAAACGACCCCGGCACGCGACGTCTGGCGCCCAACTGCCCGGTGTCTGGACTCTGGAGTCTAACGCTCTGGGCTCCCGTTCCCGTGCTCATTCATGGCTACGGATCAGATGGCTTACGGTCTATCTTGTTCTTCACCGATGATGGATAACAGGCGCCTTCCCCGACATTCCCCTGTACCGTGTCTACAGTCTAAACCACCGTCGACGGTTACTCTATGTCAAGATCGAATCTTCATCCTTCTTCAGCGGCAACGTCCGCCTGAACCGTGCAGCGCAAGCGTGTCCCATGACCACAGCAAACGCCACGCCCGCTCTTGTACCCCTTCACCGTGCTGTTCCTGCTTCACATGGCGAGCTCTTCATCTCAGGGGCGCACATCCCCGAATATTGAGGTATCGAACGTGGAAAACAAGAATTATCAAGAGCATTCCACGAAATAGGAAACTGTGACGACGCCAAATGGACAAGCCGGTTATTTCGCCATTTCCTGTCTCCATGGCCTGCGCACGTCGCCTTGTGCAAAGAATGGCAGACAGAGAAAACGCCCTAGGCTGCAGGGTATCGTGGCCACAGCGATGATCGTCCAACGGCGCGCCCCAAGGCCTTCCCGCCGCGCTGTCTGCATCAAGGGTCTGTCCGTGCTGTCCCTGCTGCTGCTGCCAGAACGTTGAGCCCCGCAAACGCGCTTCTTCAGGAGCCCACAAGGACATACCCCCACGCGAGCGACTATTTTCGAAGCAACTCAGAAGTCAGAAAGCCCATAGCCATGAATCTATGCTCAGCATTTACAGATGTGACACACCCGTTTGGTTGTCACTATTCAAAATCCAAAGTCGGAAGAAGAGTTCAATTTGATGGTTCACATATATGCACGAATCCTTTCCACCAAATGCAGCCCCTCGTTCTGGCCATCACCCGCAACATACAAGTGTCCCCCGCCGTCCCAAGCTTGCTCTGGGTTCATACCGATAGGCGTACTTCATCAGGTCCTTTTGCAAGCTTTTGAGCTCCTTGTTGAGTTTCTTGCTGCGCTCCAAAATATCTCTTACTCCCTGCATCATGGCATCGTCTGCCCGGTTCAATTTGCCCACTTTCTCGCGGATCGCCTGTGTCCGCCGTCGCTCACACGACAAGTGGTCAATATTGACAGTCGTCACTTTGCTAACCTCGACCATGGTAACTCCGGGTCGTTGCGCCACTGCCTGGACATGACGCCATTTTGTCTGTAGTTTCAGCTGCAGAATGAATCCCCTGGATGTAAGACGTAGTTGCTCGACTTCGGCGCTGACTGTAGGTTACAATAGGTGTCAGTTACCTGGATGACTTTTCAAGTAGAATTCGGGAAAAGGCTTGCACTCAACAACACGTTTGCTCAGCTCGGTTCTTTTGCGGCTGATCTCCAATGAACGACGAACGAGCTTGCTTGCCTCCTCCTGTTGCCGTTGGCGATGCGAGGCCCGGACTTTGGTGACGAAAGATGCCAGCGCTCTTCTCCACCATCTTGCCTTTCTGGGCTGAGCCAGCTCCTCTCGATCCTCGTACCTCGCCGAATCCCTGACATCCTCGATTTCAACAACAGTCACCTTGCCTAAACCCCAATCTTTCTCACCACAGAGAGTCTTCTCAGACGCGGACTCGGATGTGACCGACACTCTATCTGATGCGGCGTCCCCCCGTTCAGACGCTACTTGCAGTTTTTTGGCAAGGGTGACCGCAATGTCCACTCGACTCTCAATGCCTTGAGATTGCACAGCAACCTTACACAAGGAAAGAAGCTCGTCGTACCACTTGACGACCTTCTTTGTTGTGAAGACGGCCAAGTCAACATCGAGCTGAAGAGGGTTGGGCCCGAGAACCGAAGAAAACATAATGGCATTCCAGAGAGGTTGTGTGTTGTCGTCGCTCCGGTCAACTCGCCTGCGAGCCTCTCGAAGGGCGACGGAACTCGAGGTCGTTGCCAATTTCATTCCACAAACGGGATCTGTCACCTGAGCATGCTCTTTCAGCGTTCCGCACATAGTCAAGACTCGGCCGGGTTTGAAGCATACCTCCATGTACTTGAGGAGAAGCTCCTGGGTTGCCTTCTGCGCACTACCACTTGGCCCACCCTGTTCGAGAGGGTGACAGTAATATCCTGCTGGCTCGATGCCCCACGGCCTTTTACAGTCACTGGCAATGCGAGGATGACAGGCAAACGAAAAAACCTTCCTCCAATCAAGAGTGCCTCGCTCGTCGGCATTCGCCCTTGCCAACCCTGACATGATGTCTCTAAGGGCTTCCATAGTATCCAGAAACGCACGTCTCGCAACGCCCATTTGGTCGTAGGTCAGCCAAATATGAGCAAACCTCATCTATTTTATGTCAGTGATGTCTGAGAACGGGCGTTCGTGCTTGGGAAACCAGTTGACTCACTTCCAAAAATACAATCTTCGGCGTCTTGTCCTCGATATTTTGCCCACGTCTCAACCTTCTCCCCAGCAACTCCCATCCTGCCAGTTGTTTTTGGTGCTTTGGGAGAAGCAGATACCTCCACAATGATGTCAAGCACTGGGGAATATCATCTCGAGTTGCGTAGTAGCGGCATTTCAGGTCGAACCTGAGCCGATTTGCCGGCTGTTGCATGGACTGCCGCTGAACCGTCTTGGTGCTGGTCGTGTCAGGCTCGACCCCGGGGAGCGGCTTCTGGACGGCAATGTTGATCGAAATCGGCATCATTATGAGAGAGACAGTAAGCTTGGTATCAGAATCTCGAAATACGAGCATCCTCACGGGCTCATATGCTGAAGAGGCACGTACCCTTACGAGCGTGGCACCACCTTGGTAGGCCAGGCCCCGACTGCTCGGCGACCCTGAGGTCCTTGATTGCGGGTAATTCCATTTGTAACTCTCGGTGGCTTACATATTTCATGTGCGTTTTGCTGGGTTCGGCGAAGATGGCTTCACGAGCCGGCGACATTTTCTCACAAGTCGAAAGCTATCAGGTCCTTGAGGCCTTGAGCCTTGAGGGAAGACAACTTTGGCTGACGTCTTCGTCAACCCGAAAACTCTCTCCGCAGCCACGCAAGTTACACCACCCTGACGCCACCACCCTGACGCCGTAAATATCACAGCCTACTTGACTCACAATTGAACCCTGATCATGATGGTCCTGAAAACAGCGGAGGGTGGCTTTTAAGTCTTTGCAGATTTCGCGGCCCCATCGCGGAGTGGAGATTCTAATTCTTCGGCAACCTGTTGTGGACTATTCATTGAATACCATTGCCGGCTGTTTCTTCCTTATCCATCATGAGTCAATTGTGTCGTGCAATCGACTGCCGATTATCGTGCTTTTTGCGACTAAGATCTTTCTCATGACTTCACTCTCTTACGACTCGTGACAAGACCTTGGTGGAGCTACGAGTGAATTTCTTGATGGAGTCCACGACCTTTTCGATATCTCCAGAGGCGATAGCGAAGTCACTCGTCGATTAGAGAGGCCTCCAGCTGTGATTAACAGTGCTCAAGCTGAGTCAATATTAAACACTTTGCAAAGTTTTCCATGTCAGACGGCGATACGCATGACTCGATATATTTGAAATTGGATTCAGAATAGGGCGTTCAACAGTTTTACACTCTCTCCCAAGCACAAGACCGAAGCTCGAAGAGTTCTACATCTTTCCAAGACTCCACGAGCTGAGCTTATAGTAGAAGACGTTCTTCGGTGGAGGATGGTCGATGTGCTTTCGAGACCGCGCTGTATCTTCAATCTCTTTCGAACAGATTTACACTTAAACAAAGGCGGAAATGAAGGGAGTCGTTGTATAGTATCCTAGCAGTGCCTAGAGTTGGGAAAGTTTACGACTACAAGAGAGAAGTAATCAGTGATAGGGATGGCGGTTTGAAGATGCCTAATTGAAGACTGATCATGGGGCATTAGAATGATCTTGCCGCTGACTTCTCATGAAGTGACTCGATCACCTGGCTATTCGATATCAAAGCTCTTTGGACTGTGTAATGATAGATTGATAAGAGTTGGAGAGTTCACCATGCATCGATGTCAGGCTGAGGGGCAACGGGGCCAACAAGTTGAAGTCACACCCTCCGGGTCTTCTCCGCATTACTACCAATGAGTCACTTGAATTCCTACGTCCCTTTACTTGGAGAGACTTTCAGATTCACGCTACGGTCCCTCCAGCGAGACTTCATAATTTGTTTTTCCGAGAGAGACAGCTGACCAAGATGATATCTTCAGGTTGCTACATGGGCTGTCCATAAAGGGGGGAAATATCATTTTCTTTTGTTTACTCTGATTCAGGGACGCTTTACTCAACCTTGGATTGTGTCAACAACTTGTCCAGACACTTCATATGTGTCGTACCTTCTTCAAGATCTTGATCAGCTATTGCCCATGTCCCCCCTCCACCGCGCGGCAAACTTCCACTGCACCCCCGCACCTATGAGTGCAACCAGCTGAGCCCCAACACACAAAGTAAAAGCCCACCCCACCCCGATCCCGCTCACCATGGGCATCACAAAACTCGTGCCGCCAGCGGCGAAAAGACACCTGGCGAGGTTGACGCTAGCGCTAGCTGCAGCGCTGCGGTCGGGGAAGATGTCGATGAGGTACGTCATGACCAGAGACTGCGTCGAAACGGCGGTCCAGCCCGTGATGAAGGTCGAGATGATGGGCACTGCGATATGTACCTGGCGAGGGAAGTTGATCGTCCATCCAAAGACTGCAATGGAGACGGATTGGAGAAGTGCGAAGATTGGTATGAGACGAAGACGCGCCTTTTCGATTGGAAACCCCGCATTGGTGTCCGAGCCCGTAAGGGTGCTGCTTTCTTGGTCGTTGCTCTCGTCATACTTTGCCTTGACCCGCTGATAGTCAAGGTCGAGAAGCTTGCCCGTGACTAGCGTGCCGATCATGGAGCCCACGCCGTTTGCGATGAACGTCAGGCCAATGTGGATTTCTGATAGGCCGTAGCGTGACTTGAAAAGACTTGACATGGCTGTGATGCTCATCTGCCATACCGCGTAGTAGACGGCGAGAAAGAACACGATAGGGGCAGCGCATCTGTTGAAGAGGATCCGGAGGGGTCCGGTGATGTCGACGTGCTTGACAAGTGCCTTATTTGAAGTTGCTCTGTTGGCATGCCATGATATCTCCGAGGTCCGTTGGTAGATGATCAAGGGATACTTTCCCAGACAACCCTTTGGTGTTCTGGTACCATTGCCGACGACAGACCTGAGAGTCTCTGGAAGTAGAAGTAACAGCAATGTGAGGAATACAGCACAGTAGATTGCAAGGAACCAAAAGATGCTCCTCCATCCAAAAGATCCGGCCAAAGCACCTCCAATGACGGGCCCAACGGCAACTGGAACAAGCAAGCCGGCCTGGAAGACGCCCATGTACCCGCCCCTCTCTTGCCGCGTCGTAATATCGCTAATGACCCCAGAGCCTACAGCAATTGTGCTCGCGCTACCGGTGCTCTGTAAACATCTGAGGATGATCAACGTTGCGTAGTTTTGGGTTTCTGCGAGACCGATGCACGCGCCGAGAAATACGACAAAGGTGCAGCAGTAGGCGACTCGTCGGCCTTTGACGTCGGAGATTGGACCCCATAGACTTGGTGCTAGACCTTGGAATATGAGGTAGGTGGTTACTGTGAGGTTGGCGAGCTCTACTGAGACGCTTAGGTCGTCGGCGACGGTGGGGAGGGCTGGGAAGTAGATGTTTGAGGCGAAGCCTGAGACTGCGGTCTAGGTCAGCAGAGAAGCCAATGTCTTCGGAATAGCTGGATTGATCTACAAGTGGCTGCAATCGATACTAGAGATATAATGACTCTTTTCTGGTGTTTATCGAAGATGGTGTATGGTTCGTGAGGTTGATCAGATGAGGAGTGCGTCTCCGTATTATCGGCGTTGAGTGTTCTTTCTGCACTTGGAGGGGTCATCTTTGGCTTTGGTCTTCTTAAGTGAGGTTGACGATTTTGAGAAGAGTTTGAAGTAATTCCTTGCTCTTTAGACCGGAAGAAGGAGGCGTTGGTCTAAATACGGCTGCAGTCGATGTCGATGTCTCGTAAACTTGACCGTGACGAACGGCTTCCGGAGTTGAGCCCCACTATTTCGGAGTTGAGACTTTGCCCCATCGTCCAAGTGCAACAATGAGCACCCTGGCCTGAGTCTTGCATCCACACCCGCTCCTGCGGGCTCCAAATGCGCTTATTGATCTGATGTACTCAACAGAATATGGTATTAGCTTCTAAGGGCCTTTATCAGGGAGAAAGTAGGCAATTCCTGCGGATGAGCACGAGACCGAGACTCAGGTACAAAGATCTCCGGATCTGTGAGTTCGGAGCCGGAGCGACGACCCACTATTTCCGACTGGGCCGTCCGGCTCGTCTGACTCCACTTCCAGCGGCTGCCACCAGCTGGCAGCTTCCAGAAGTAGATCGGAGCTTCCTTCCCGAGTTGTGTGCTCATCTTTCAGGTGACTTCACCTTCTTTCCCCGACGCGACTTCAACCTTACTTCTCAACAGCATCGCATGATTGCTATTCGTGTTACCACCGCCTGAATAATGAAGGACCGGAATCATGTCGACATTCAACGGACTCGTCGCGGAGTTCCCTGACATACGAGGTAAATCCCCTGCCCAATAATGCACACAGCGATCAGCCTGCTGCCTCACAGGATTCACCTCGCACAACCAGGCATATCTGTATCGCGGCATATCACTTACCATTCTACAGTTGACTTCTTTCGGAAGCATCCAGACCGTCGTCCGCCTCTCGCGTGTTTCCTGAGCCATATACACAGTGACCACTTGGCTGGGCTTGACTCCCTACGGTCTCCTTTCGTCTACTGCTCCGCAGCCACTCGGGAGATGCTCCTCCGTCTCGAGCGATACCCTTGTCGCATCAATCACGCCAAAGGAATCCTCGAGGCACGCGTGCAGACGTACAAGCATCTGAAGAATCTGCTCAAGCCGTTACCCCTGGAGACCCCAACCACGTTGGAGCTGTCGCCAGGCAGTCACATTCGGGTCACGCTATTCGATGCAAACCATTGCCCTGGTGCTGTTATGTTCCTCATTGAGGATTCGTATCGCGCCATACTCTACACGGGCGACATCCGGAGCGAGCCATGGTTTGTGAATACGATTGCAAGGAACCCAGCCGTGATCGAGTACACCTCTGGCATGAAGACGCTCGATAAAATCTACCTTGACACCTCCTTCATCAAGGACATACCCTTCCAGACCAAGGCCGAAGGCATTGCAGAATTACTCCGCAAAATAGCGCAATACCCAGATAACACCGTCTTCCACATCCAAGCATGGACTTATGGATACGAACACGTCTGGATAGCTCTGGCCAAAGCTCTCAATTCCCGCATTCATGTCGACGACTACAAGATGCGCATCTTTTCGTCTCTCACTAGCAAGGTATCGAATGATCGCTTCAGCTCTTCCGTTCATCTATGTCCAGAAGCTCCTGCTCTGGCAGGCTACGTATGTGGGAATACACCCCACCCCGGGTGCCTCACCCGGGATGAGAATGTTCGACTTCATAGTTGCGAGAGGGGAAACCTCTGCAACACGGTGAAAAACTCAAAAGTGGTGTCAATTCAGCCAATCATCGCGCATCTGAGGAGCGGTGCTGACATTGCTGAAGTGGGTGTTGGCGGCGGCGGAGATGATCTAGAACGTGACGCTGAGCTCGACCCTCTGTCAACGGAAGACATCACGGCAGTCTCGAAGCTCATCGAAGATGCGGAGATTTCCCCAGAGGCAAAGCTTCGTCTTTCCGAGTTCCTCGAAACGGGTGCCAAAACGGGGCGAAGCCTTTCTCTGGATCTCGATATTGCGTCATTTGGAGAGAAGAATCAGGCGGCCATCATGGACGCCTTCCAAGCAGTTGGTCGAAAGAAGCACCTGGGGGAGCAATCCACACAAATCACGCAACCAGCAATAGACGGGCTAAGCGGGAAACTGCCGAGAGTAATCACGTTTCCCTACTCCCGGCATTCGTCTTATCAAGAGCTATGTGACCTGGTTCGAATCTTTCGCCCCAAGGATGTGTGGCCTTGCACAGTGAATCCTGTCGACTGGCTCAGAAACACCACGAGTATACGATACCTGTTTGGTAATCTCTGCTCTGGCGATACCTTCGCCCACGACATGGAGATGAAGAAACTCGCCGAGAGTCTGAGAATCCTCCAGCAACCGTTATCCAAAGGTCTTGGCAATAGTCAATTGCCGGCCACTGAGGCACACACTACGGCATTACACTCATCCCATAGTTGCGAAAGCATCGCATCCGATCCTTCCGCCGTTGAAATAGAGGAGACACTTGTGCTGGGGCTCGATAGCAACCCCGGGTCCGTTGAGACACAGCTCCCCACACGGAAGCAACGTGACTTCTTCTGCCGGGGCGGAAACTCAAAGCACACTCTAGATACTCCGATCCCGCCCACTGAGTCGGTTTCGCTCATAGCATCTGCCGGTGTTTCTCGCATTCGGGCAGATGCGTATTTTGCCATGGAGCAAAATCTCCTTGGCGGGGAGTGGACGCCGATTAGCCTCCTCTCTACTATTGATCACCATACTACTCCAGATAAGGATCTTGGAATGGTTTGAGCTTGACCAATGTCTCAAGAGCTATATAGCAGGGCATCACAAGGCAAGGATTGGGTCCACACTCAGTCTTAGTGACTATGATTATCATTGACGATCGGGTTTTGCTCGTTGACGAGCTACGCGAACCAAGGAAATAGGGCCTCAACGCTGTAATATAACCAACCTCCCATGATAGTGACTGGGCCATACATGGGTACACGCAAACTCCATTCACGTTCTGTTTGCCGCGATTCCTATTGTGGACGCAACGCTCCAGCTTCCGAAACACCCCACCGGCCATCAATGTACTGTCGCAAACTCTTTCCCCAGAAAGCAAGGGGCACAGCAACACCACCCACGACGAGGAGGATAGCGCCCAATTCGAAGTTGGCACCCAGGTAGCCCTGTGACCTGAGCCATGGTGTAACAGCGTAGCTCGTCGCAAAGCTCAACATGTACCCCGCTCCGCCGACGATGACCATAGCTGGCGCCGCCCACCGAGGAAAGGCTTCCGTTACCCAGAGCGTTGAAGCGATGCCGTACGCAGCCGCGCTGAAGGCGTTGATGAGGTAGGAGACGAAGATCCAGATGAAGCTCCATTTGTAGTGCACGGTGAAGCCGTACAAGAAGATACTGCCCGCACCAGCCAGGACGGCCGGGAGAAAGGCGATGAGGTAGTGTTCCGCATCTCGGATCCCGCCGTTACGGAGTGTCAAACGGCGGGCAACACGCGAAGTCAGGATGGTCGACACGGGCCAGGCGAGAAGGGAACCGATCGCCGAGACAGGGTTGACCATGGAGATGACACGCTCGGGGAGGTTATACGGCGGCTGGGACATGACCACCGCGTACGTTTCGCCAATGAAGATCATTGCGCCAAAGTTGAGGGCGTTAAGGATCGCGACCCAGAAAACGAGGGGATTGCACGCGCAGAGCATCGTCTGCACATAGCATGTCCACATCTCCCGGAACCCTGCACCACTTTTGCGCACTCCCCATCGCCGTACCATGCCTTGCCAGACCGTCTCGGGTACAGCCTCGGGCTGGATTACCTCGCTGGTCTTTCCGCCTGGCAGCTCTTCCCAGTCGTCGTACATCTTGACCTTTTCCGAACCACCCTGGACGAGGATGTGGCCGTCAAAGGCAACGGCTGGGCGGACGAAGTATGTCTCGGGCAGGAAGAAGAAGGCGCAAACGAATACGGCGAGACAAGGGACGAGCCAAGCGGTATAGAAGCTTCTCCATCCCGGGGCCGCGAGTGCCGGGACGATGCGGAGGGACACAAGGCCACCGCCGCACCCGATACTCCAGAACATGCCTAGAGCATTAGGGCGCTCGTCGATGAAGGTCAAGTCAATGACAATCAAGATGGACTGCAGAACACACAAGTTAGGTTAGTCGAGCACCGGGAAGAAGGACGGAGAAAGAAGGGCCGTCACATACCGCACTCAGGCTCAACCCGGCCGAGAACCCCTGCAAACTCAAAGCCCCGAGGAGCTGGTAGAAACCCGAGGCATTCGCAGCCAGGGCCGTAGCGATTGTCATAAAACACGAAGCTAGCAAAAAGACTGGCCGTCTCCCGATGGCTACCGACAGGGGTATCCAGAGAAATGCTCCGAGGCCGAGAAATATTGTGCTCGGTGTTGAAACGAGAATATTCAGTGGAAACTTGTCGGCTTGCTGAGAAATATGTTAGCACCTGGTCGGCTGGGTTTGAGGCATCGCCGCCTGATAGTAGCAGAAGATCATACCTGTCCGTTGAACTCGACAGCAAGAGATTTGTACATTAAACTGGCAGCTTGCGTCTCCAGCATGGAAACAATCGAGTATAGTATGAGTACTCCCATGGCGACTAGTCGCTTCGGCAAACTCCAGTTCAACGGGTCATAGGGCGAGTTACTCGGCATGGGAAGCTTGAGCGTCTTGCCATCAGAGGTGATGAGGTAGATGCTGCCAGAGAGGTCGGCCGAGGCCGGCCGGTCTGACGATCGACTGCTGGCGCGGCTCATCTTGACTTTGAAAGAGGCAAAACGGGTAGCAAAACAAAAGAGAAAGAGGGGAGACAGAGCTAGAGAGAAAGGGAGAGATACTCGTGTAATAGTGAGCGGACACGATTATTGCAAAATTGGACCAAAATGTCAAATTAACGACGGCCGGTGTGCTGCCAGAACAACCCGATGGAGACGACAACAAACTAAGGTTGACGGGAACGGGAGACCAGGTCCCTTAATATGAAGAACATGGAATTCTCGAGAGTTTCTCTTGACATGTGGTGCGTGGAGAAAAGAGACCACGTTGGGCCCTGGGTTCGATAGAGTAGAGAGACACTGGAGTA